GTTGGCCGTCGATCGTGACTGTTTACGAAGAGAGGCGGGTTTTTGACCTGCGGTATTTGAGGATATACGCGGAGCCGTTGGGGTAAAATGCGTCGGAGCTGAGGAACTTCTTCTTCTCTGAAACTGCTCTAAGCTCACGAAGTGTAGTGGACGTGATTATAAACCCGCTCTCGCAAAAGTGGTTCCAGATGACGGTTTGTAGGAATAAGAAGTAGAAGGGCAGCAATTCGAGCAACGGAAACGATTTCTCCCTCGAGAAGAATGCTGTGCGATGCGCAAATATTGTTAGAATACCTGTCGAAATGCGGTCTATTCTTTTGTGCGTTTGACCATGACAATTGAAAAAGACAGTAATGCCATTGCTCAGTACACAATATGCTAGAACATGCATAAGGTTTCTTCTTATAGATTAAAGCACAAAACACTTTATATTATACAGTAAACAAGATACCTTTGGCACTAAGATATATCTGTCCTCCACGATAAATCGCGATCAAAGTAGATGCTTAGGTACTTTATGGACCTAACATAATGAGCGGTTTCACTGTTGGCACATAGGCAACATGATTCATGAAGAACAAGTGAAAACAAGCTCACACCTCTCAGAAGCTTGCAGAAACATACAAGTTTTGTTTTAAAATCCTTCACTCGCAGCATGATAAGTATATCATTCGCGTTTCCGCATCGCCACCATTGTGCCTGCTGCACGAATGTAAAATTCAGCTGACCCCCGCTTCACAAGTGTGTTAATGCTTTTCAGAGTTGACTGATATTAGTGTTTTCGATCAATAAAATTTTAATGGAAATTATGTGTTTATTTTACTACTGAGAAAGTTGACTCTTAAATTTGAGTTAAGCATTAGCTAATTAGAATAGTTTTTGCAATCTCTCACGTCCACCCTAGCTGACAGCTTGTTCCCGAAAGGAGTTTCTTTTCTGCTCAACGTCTATATTGGTAGAAAGTTTTGAGCCTTTATTGAAACACTCAGTATATACGCAAACAGATTTTTTTATAGGAGGAAAGGGTACAGATTTGTATTAATTAACTCGTTTATTAAGAAATATCTACGGCGAAATGATCCAATTATTTCAAAGCAGAACTAACGTATTTCATTGTTCAATTTTCCTAAAACGATGCAAGAGTGGAACCTTCTCTCCCAGACATTGTAAACTCGGCTTGCCTTGTAGAATTCATGAACAGTCTGGGGCACTTGAACAATTAGTAATTTTTGAGACTAGCATTGAATGGCACTTGTCGGAAACTTGTGTGCTGAGATTTCACACGTGCGCATGTTTTCTTTGTTAAGCTCTGCCAATCATACAAAGAATTTTGTACGATTGGCAGAGCTTTCTTTTTCGATGAATGTGTTACCACGCGAGTGATGTATTTTGTAATGTAATGACTCCAAGATGGGTTGACAATATCTCTAAATAAATGAAAAAGAAATATAATGTCCTGAAAGGTCAGGGTGATGTTACAGGGGGAATAATTGTCACGGTAAATCTGATAATTAACTAAAATTTGTTAAAGAACTTCTAAACTTATGAAAGTAAATATATTGTCTCAATTAGAAGCATGCTGAGTGTCATATATCTGCAAAAATTCAAGGCTTGTGGGAAGCGCAGTGGTGCGCTGAGGTTACCGCTCGCGCAACGAACGCAATGCACGCGGTGCGGAAGTGCGGATGCTAAGAGACGAAAAACCTGCGCGGGCACGTTTTCTAACCACTCTCGCGCATCTTGCACGAGTGGTCACCGCGCTTCCCACGCACCCCACATTTTTCTAGAATTCATTTATTCGATGTTTTTAGATGACTCTCATGAACATTCTAATGAAAACCTTATAGTTATCTTCAATAATATTTAAAAAAAAGTTAATTTACAAATATTACCCAAGCAGCACACCATTGTTCGAAAAACGTAGCGCCACCAATGGAAAACTTTGGCTCAAATATTAGCCTAACTTCGGATTTCGCGAAGGTCCAACCCGATCTAATGTTGGATCATTCACTAAAGCCAATGTTGAACCACGTTTCAACCAATTTTTAGGCCAACATTGGACCACCATTCCTGCCATTGTTTGATCGCCATTTAAGCAACATTTAAGTCAACGTTGGGTCACCTAAGCCATCATTGGACCACCTTTGGTTGTGGGTTTTACAGCCAATATTGCTATCCAAGTGTAATTAGTGGCTAATTCAATATCGGCTCGCAACCTTAACAACTGGTTAATTTAATTTCGGCATCCGATCTTAACCACGGGCTGTACTATTTTCCGCAGCCACTTTTATCAGGCATGTTTCGGAACACAAGAAAATATAGATGAAAAACAAAATTACAGTAGACAAGCCATATTCACGGTTTATTTTTATTCATTTCTTCAGCCCAATCGTTTTACGCGCGGCAAACATTTCGCAACTTTTTGAGAAATCTCATGTCAATCTTACACACAGGAAAATATTTAAGGACACAACGCAAAGTAACAATGCAGGAGCTTTGTACGGTCAGTGCATTTTATTAAATATTTCGATGGAAGAAAAACTGCCAGTTCACTACTAGGCTTACCAATTATGAATATCGAAATAAATTATGGGTTCATTCTTCGTCGCCCTTTAATTCATTAACTAGTCGATTAATCAGTTCAGTTGTTCTTTACGTAAAACAGTCTCAAAAAGGCGTACACGACCTTTTTCATTCGTACATTTCCATAATTGCGCACCTACAATAAAACTAAAACACAGGACTTTTTTTAATGAAATACTATTTTATTACTTTTTTAATAATAAACTTGGGTATTGTAGGATACAACAGCGCTTAATCATAAAATAATCAGATGACCAAGTAAGAAATCAGGCCTTTTTACTGTCGTTTTGTTCTCTTGACTTATTTAACCGATCTAGGTTAAAAAGAAAAAAAAAAGATTATGATATAAAGAAATGAACCAAATAGTCGAAAGGTTAGTCGTTCAATTAGTTAGTCAATTGCCTAGCCCTACTGTTGCAAGACACAAAGGGTTTCTTAACCGTCATTCTAGCCTCAAGACCTGTTAATCTCCACATTTAAGTTCCCATTTACTACAGCGTACATCTCCTGCCGAGATGACAGACATAATAAGAGAAAACAATTACCTCCCACAAAGAAATAAACATTCAGACCGTCTCTCACGTTCTATTAGAATAAAAAAAAGGTTCTTACAAATAGCGCTGTACAGTTTTTTCGGGCCGATCGCTATGGATTGCACGCTGAACTCGACGGAGGCTCCTGGTCCAGCAGGTGCTCTCTTTGTCACTCCCAGGGAAGAGAAGGAGGTACGTCGTGTTTTCAGTCCGCCGAGGCTTGTGGTCGCATGTATGCCCACAACAAAATAAATATCATTCCTCTTGTACCGGTGCGTAGGCGCTGTCGGTAGAATATCCGTGGTATTCATAATTCGGAAGTTGAAGGTCTCACTTGGTATAAAAACGGAATTCGGCGCTGGTGGTCGGAGCTTTAAAACGACCGCTCTTGCCGCTTCCGGTGGAGTAGCGAGGATGGAGGACATATTCGGCAGATTCGCACGACGAAAACGTCCAGCAAAGTGGCAAAATGCACTCAAACTATTCAAATAAAGACCCCACGGCGTTCTCAGATGTGCATGTTGATCTGGTGATGCTTTTCCCCTGGAAGAAAATAGCTCTTTCTGCCGAAAACCGTAAATAAAATGCGGAGCGCATCTCCCCGTTTGCATTTTGCAGTTCGCGAATGCACGTATGGTACAATGGCACGAGGTATAAGCTAGGATGCGCAAACGGCGACCAGGCAGTACATACCACGCTGTAGCATGGCTACTGAGCGTGCGTCGGGGTGGGGAGGTATCGATGACGTTCTGACCCTCCGCTCGCAGCTTGCTAGACTGCGTGGTGTGTACTGTCAGGTCGTCGTTTGCGCATCCTAGCTCCCAGAGTCCCCCCGACCCTACACAGGAGGTTATGCCCTACCATGTCATGTGGCCTTGGTTAAGTTTACGTGGCCCCACTTTTTGCGTTTGTGTATGTGCTTGTGTGCTTTACGTGTTCTGCAATACTCGGTTCACCCCTAAGCTGAGAGTGAAGTGAAAACTATGGTGCTCCGTGTACCAATCATACGTCTATCTTTAATCACGTGATCACGCTTTCTGCCGTAACCACGCGCAGAGAGCGGGGTCAGGTGTTGAAAAGGATGTGGTTGATTGGTCCGGCGGGTGCATAGCTCGCACCGCACTGTCAGCTAAGGGCTTCTTTTGAGTCCTCTCCCACGAAAACGAAAGGGTATGTGGGGAAATCGTCAGGGGCTTTCCTGCTTGGCCGAGCCACCTATCGCAAGCAACCCGTTCAGAGGCCGTCAGCGCGCCCTTTCCTCCTCTCGCCTCTTCTGGTTTCCGAATTCTTCCTTCTGCGTCTGCTCGTATTTGCTTTACGGGTGTTTTTAAAGCAATCTGGTAGAGATTGTTCGATGCCTCGTGTCAGAATTAAAAAGAGACAATAATGAATCAAGTTAATACTGCTTTACTGTTACCCATTTTTCCTCGGATTACCTGACCTAGCGGTAGAGTGCTGTGTTTAGTCGACTTTTTTTACTGCTCATTTTAAGTAAGTTTTACTATGAACGCGAAACTTTTTATCTTATAATCTCAACTTCCTCTTAGCAGAGTTTTTCGGCCTAAACCGTACTCCGAGTGACTGGCGTTGGCGTAGAAACTCGTGCTGTGATCATCCATAACCCGACACTAACCCGGGGAGTTTAGGGAATTTTTCCTTGTCTGTCGGGTGTTCTGTCAAATATTTCGTCCCTATGGGCCGTGAAATACCCAGATTCAATCGTTCTCAACAATGCCTGCGCATGTAAAAGGAGACTCGAGAAATCAGCAAGTGTATTACTTAAGTATTTTTGTTTTCTTTTTATGAAAGCGTTAACGGGTTCACTTTTCTCTATAGATTTCTAATGATAGCGCATGATGACGAGTACGGTATTCTTTGCAGAGCAGTCTCACTGGCAAGGGGAGTCTTCAACGAGCCCCTGCTTCAGCCAGGAGTGCATTCGCGCAGGTAACACGACTTTTTTTTCAACCACCTCTGGACACTATATTATGGCGGCACTTTAGTGCGAACCCAACATCTACATTTATTTAGATTTCGCTCAAGCAAAGTATTGACATGCGTACATTTTTACCGCTTAAGTTAGTGCACAAAATAAGAACCTTCCGCCGCATCAGTAGCTTTAATGCGAAATAACTGTGCCATGGAGTGAGCCGACGTCATCAGCCGCGGCAAACGGCAGATAAATTCCCGAAGCCGCGATCTGAGGCATCCCAGCTTTGAAACCGCGCAGAAAGCCACGCAAAACGGCAGTGAAATAAAGCCGAAGCGCGTCAGCTTTAATTAGCGCCACCCCATGGTGCTGCGTGTCCGCGCCGCCTAGAGTTCCTGTATAGGCTCCCTACGGGAGCCAGAGTTGCGCGATCACGTGAGGAGCCGAATCAAGTGCCGTGCAGGAAAGTAGACGTTGCACGCTCCCCGGCGTACGTTCTCCTGCTTTTGAGCGCGACGCGTGCCTCGAACGCGCAACGCCGCTATTCGCCAAATTCAGTCACGTGACGAGCGGGATCAACATGCCGTGCAAGAAAGACGGCGCTACGGAGATGAATACGCAACTCTGGCTCCCGTTGGGAGCCTATTCAGGAACTCTAGCGCCGCCGGCATAAGTAATCGGGTGGCCGCCTTCCGCCGAGCGCGCCAGCCGATTTTTGATGATAGCCGTTCAATTCCGAGAAAACAAAAACAAGGACAAAATTTAATCGCTTTTTCGCGCTAACAGTGTCGTGCTACGTACTGTGGCCCGCAGTATGAGCGGGAGTAAGAAATGAAATGAATTAGGCTTTGTACTTCCCGTGTTAGAGACTCCGCTAATGACATAGTACGTGTGGAAAGAGTGCGAAATAAAGCGTAGGAAAGGGACACCAGTAAGCATGCGGCCAAGATAAGACGATGCTGAAAACGCGCCAAGGCGCCGTGTTTGTTCTCGCTGATGTTGTTGCCGGGGGTACATCTTCGCATCGGAGTCTCCAAAGCAAGTTACGACCGCGTATTTTACGCATCATCTTTTCCGAGCTGAATAGACCGCGGACTATACATGTTGAAAAGTTGATATTCTAAGCTGTGCGGATTATACAATGTTTTATGATTTAAATTTAATGAATATTAAGGTGGTTGTCGCCTGTGCGGCTCTTGAGATTATGCTATTTTATGTTAGCATGAGTCAGTAAGAAAATTTGAGATCGTCAGTATGTCGGTATCGCCCACGCAGCCCCCGAGAGTGGCACACAGACAATATGGATCAGCCTTGACCCTGACGCCACAAACAAAAATTGCTTGCGGTTGTCACCTCATCTATATAAAATTCCGGTCGCGGTGCTTTAAATACAAAGAAAAATGTTTGTGTTAGAACAATAAAAAAATAGAAGCACTAAAAACAAAAACAAAAAAAAATTACGTTCGTATTTTTTTTTTTTTTTTTCAGCAGGGAGTATTATATGCCGAAGAATCTCTGACATAATTTTTGAGGGGAATAAGGCACAGATGAAGTGAACATACAGTACGGACTAGACTCCCTACATGAGCGCTATGTGAAGTAGCGGTTTTATTAACTCGATATAGACTTAGTACCTTAAAAAAATTACAATAAACGTACTGTGGCGGGGATAAGCTGAGCTAGTGGGTTATAGATTGGGAAGAACCAGCTGAACCTACTATTAGAGGAACATTCATATAGATGAAAGGAGATAGACAAATGCGCAAAAGAAACCGCTGGTCGTTTGCAGAACATGCTGTGTTGTAAGAAATAGTTAAATGTTTTTATAATGAAATATCAAGGAAACACAAATCATTGTATAGTCCGCTCCTGTAAATACTAAGTAGTTAGCACCGCGTAAAATTGTAACTTTTAAACATGTATATTTTGCGGTCTGCTGTGAAAACAAATACGGTATATAACAATTCTACTACGAGCTTGAGGCACATTGAGTGGCAGGAAGCGTTGTTCTGACCCCCCGGGGTGCCCGCCCTTGCAGCGGCCGCCATCATGGAGAGGGCACAGCTTTTCCGGGACCCCTGCCTGGACTTCGACGCCTTCGCGTGCGGCAGGTTCGTCCAGGACCACGCTGCCCCGGACGACCACTACTTCACCAACACGCTGATCTCAATGCAGGACATCATCTTCGTCAGGCTCAAGAGTGCGTCTCCCCTCCTTTTTTTTTTGCTCTCTGCGCCTCTCTTCACCAGGCTGTGATAGAACGAAGTCAGTAATATTGTAATCATATGGGCATCTTCGTAAATTTTTTTACTTCAGTCATTTCTTTAAATGGAGAAAAATGTTTGTTTTCGTGGTACGCTAGTCACGCGATCAATTATCAAAACATATTTTGTCTAAGCGAGTCTGCAACTGCCTTCCTTTTAGTCATGGCTGGATGGATGCAGTTCTTTTCTTAATGGGCATAACAAGAAACAAGCACCTAAGAATCGATGAAGTGAATGCAAGGGCGCAAACGAGCTAGTTTAGATTGAACATGTCGTAAACCCCGAGACTGCAGAAAAAAAAAATGACACGAACACTAAAAAGCCTCGAACACAGCTGACTTTTAATTTCCAAGAAGTTATTATATAGACACCTTGACAAAAGAAAAAAAAAAAAAGAGAGAAAGTAGCCAATGCACCTTCTTCCCACAGGTAAACAATAAAATACAGCAACCCACCAAAGACATAAAAGGACATCGCCAAACCCTTCCCCTCTTACTCTGAACCTTCGGTACCCTGAACCCGTAATAATATGTCCGGTAACACAGAGTGGATCACAAACTCGTAATCCTAGCCGTCGCGCAACACACCCAACAATTCAACCCACAAACAATAAAACACAGTAACCCGCCAAAGACGCAAAAGACGTCGCGACTTCCCACCTTCTTTCTTACTCTAAATCGTCGCTAACAGAATACTATCATCCTCCCTTTGTACTGGTAAGATTAGGCCTGGTAAACCAAAGTGAACCATAGAACAACATGTCACCCCAGCTTCTCAGAAATAGAAACACAATAAACTTACAAGGTGGCCACCTTTCAAGCCCTAAAAACAGTCTCAGTTCAGGGCTTCAGCAAAACGAACGTTTATTAACAACGTTTCCGCGGTTTGTCAATAACTATTCGCTTGTGATTATTCTTTTCCCGTAACTCCACTGAGGTTAAACTCCACAGTGGCACACAATTCTTACATTCGATAATATGTTTAAACAGTTCCGAGTATGGGTTCTTGTTTTTTATGCATATTTCGTGTTCTGTCAGGCGATCATATATACATCGTTTAGCTTGTCCGATATAACAAAGTCCACAATCAAAGGGTATTTTAATACAATCCCTGATACACACTCCAACACTTTCTTTGTGATTTTGCAGACAACCTGTACTTGGAGCTGCAAAGGGGGTTATGTGGATCAGTCTAAGATCTGTGCAGACCGCACTGCCAACATTAAACTTATTGGCTAGCGGTTTTATGTTGTGGGAGATTTTCATGAAAGTATAAAGGACTACGCGCTTAGAAGGTTTACTGCCGTTTTTAGCTGCCTTTTAAGAGATACCAGATAAAACAACTGTCTTGCGATATATTCCTGGGATATCCTGTCATTGTGAAACGTTTCATAAGACGACGAAGAGGTTTACTTATCGAATGGGAACAACACTTTTTTTTATTGCTGCATTGACTAGATTCTGAATTTAGCCTACTTTCACATACATTGAGTGGCAACTACTAAATGAAAGAAGTGGTTTTACTGTGGATTTTTCACACTCCCAGGAAAAACCTAAACCAAAGAAGCGACTTAAAAAAAAAATATGCTCAAAGAATGTTGTAACACATTTCAGAAGCAATAGGTTTGAAGGGGCATTCGAGTTTTTTGAGCGCAGCTCTTAAACGCCCATTTCCGGGTTGAGTGGCGTCGGCGTCGGCGTATCCGCGCGCGTTGTAGTGCTAAACATTTGCCCGCTAAAGTTAGGGGGGGGACTTTTTCCGCTAAATTTTCCCGCTAATTTTCGCGGAAAAATTTCCCCGCTACCCTTGGCGGGTTAGGCTTCCCCACTAAATTTAGCGGGGAAATGGACGTCACGTGACGTCAACATGAATTTAGTTTCTCCGCTAAAATAAGGAAAGTGACGTCACGATTTGTGTCGCGTCACCCATGATAAATTCAGCGACAGGAGGACAGTAGGAGGAAAGGAGGAGGAGGGGAGAGGAGGAGGGGCATACCCTCCCCTCCGTACCCTCCCCTCCTCCTCCTGAAGAGCTGCGCTCTTGTTTCGCATTACAGAGATTTGTAAACGTCGTTCATTTTTTGTTTTCTTTTTTAATTTATCTATACATTAAAACTAATCCAACTGAAATTCGTACAGCGAATTCATGAAATGTATACATAAAAAAGGGAATTACAAGCGCAACAAAAAAGGCAACAGATTAATGCACGAAAACAAAAATTTTACCTTATACAAAAAAGAAAATCAATCAACCAAAAAGTTACGATTTTTCCGACATAATGGGGTTTCAACAATATTTACTACTGATTCGGGAAGGCGCTGCAGGAATCGGATTTCACGCGAAATAAATGCGTTTATGAACGGCCTGGTTGAGTCAGTCAGATGCTGAAAATTTTTACTCGTTCTGGTAAGATAGAAGGATCTGTAACGCGGTTGAAGGAAAGAAACACTTGAGTGGCAGTGTAATTATTGAAGGTTATATTAATAATAATAATAATAATAATCTTTATTTGGACTCCTCGTGTTTAAATAAAGAAGAATGAAGTAGCACAAAAGGTAAATAATTTGACGTACTTCAAGCAATGATAAAGAAGTGATATTTTCAGTGTATAACAAGATGCGACGATGTGTACTGCTTCAATTAGATTGATTAAATTTTTTTTTTAGGTACCGGGTTGATAAGGCTATTCCAGTTGAGTGCGGCTATATCTTTGTAAGCACGTTTGCAGAGACCAGCAGGGTTTGTTTTGAGGTTACATTTTAGCAACCTAAAAGCTATAGATGCTTCTAGAGGCATGGTATTAAAACGGGCACACAATAAGATGGATGTGAAATGGGCATCTAGATGCTAGTAAGATCAAAATACGCTGAGAAGTGTATTGCGCAATATATCTTCAACTTGATAAAGAATCGGTTTGCTAGTTTAATTCCTTCCCTAGCCTTTACGCTTTTGAAGTAGCATTGACCATTCCTCAGACCAGTTATTCAAGCGAATTATATAGTGCTGAAGCAGCAATAAGTAATATATTTTTTGCCTTTTCCTGGACGACCCTTATCGGCCTAATGGCTCGCTCCGCAAAATGTAATAGCTGTAAGTTGTAAAATAAAATCCATCACCACTGTAGAGCGTTCCGATAACGGGCCCGTTTGGAACAACCGACCTCCCTTGTCACTACGCTTGCATCGTGTTGTTATCCTATTGGGTATCATAATGGCAGTTTCCGGTACGATCTGCTTAAATTCCTTACTACAGTGGCTGTGAAGAGCCCCCCCCCCCCCCCCCCCCCCGGTGACTTCGTACGCGTAGCAACCCTTCGACGGCTCATCGCCGATCTTAGCTGCGGTTTAAGAGCGCTCCCACAACTCACCACTTGTCATTCCTTCCTAAACCTCTCAATAAATCCCAACTCACCGAGGACGCGCTCAACCCTTTTTCACGACAGTGTGATTCTGAGGTTGCCATTGTTTTATAAAGTTATGTGGCAGCTGTAAGATAGAAGCTATTTTAGTATTATGTTTTCTTTTACTTTCGAGCCTGGGTGGCGGGAATAAAGATTCGCTCTTCTTCCATCGATATTTTTTTTACGTTTCTCTGGGGAGCTGTTGCATGAGGGGCCTCCGAACGTTTCTTGATTGAGCCAATGACTTCGCTGGCTGAGCCCCATCTTACACAGACAAATGCCCTGCTCAGAAAAAAGGAATATAAAAACAAAACAAAACGGGAAGGGTTCATTATTACGGCCATTTTCGCATGACATCGCTATTACATCCTACCAAACGTGCAAGGCGAGTAAGATAATCGTGAACATTTATTCTGGCAGCTTCTTTAAACACATAAATAAAAAGAGGTCTTCTAGTCAAGATGGGTGGAAAGAAGCCAGCTGACTGTGACTTGTTCTGACATCTTTCAGAGCTGCTGGAAGACACGAGTTCCTCCAACCGCAGTACGGCGGTGAGCAAAGTCAAGACTCTGTACAACTCCTGCATGAACACCAGTGAGTAACATGCAACAGCTCTTCTCAGTCTAAAACGTGGGGATAATCATCGCATCGCTCGAGGAAACTTCTGCATAAAGAGCTAGCGTCGAAAGGCCATCCCGGTTAAAGAACCCGTTTCTAACTGGCCGGAACCGTTGCGCCCAAAAACCACGCCTCTTCGAGGCAATGACTAGGACGCTAAGTCGTCTGTTTTTGTGAACATAATATTACGTGGCATTTAAAACTAAATGTAAGTAGCAGGGTGATAAAACTTCTGCTAACAGTGTTCTTTGTTTTTGTTCGTTTGTGCGTCTTGAATGCGGCTAATAGACCAGATTAGCCGTTTTGCCTGAAATATGTTAAATAAAATGCTGCACTTGCTAAATAACGGAGGTGTACAAAGCAGCCAGAGTTTTTGATGGGTCGTACTCGAGTTCTTCTGTCTCACTGAAAATGAAGTTGATAATTTACTTGTAAGAAAACGTGTCGGAGTCTCTGTGACGCCTGGAGACAGGGGATCCGATACCGACCAATATTGTGGTCCCACCAAAAAGACTCTTATCATAGCCATAGAAACCCAATAATTGACAAGGTCATTCTAACACATTCCTACGCATTTCTATTTTCTACTTCATATCCGTTCGTAAAGACTCGGTCACTTGAAACTATTGTTTTACATCTTGCTAGATGTGTGTAGACAATAAGCATGATGCCTGAGAATGCCAAAACTGGATTGTTTATTGAAGAAACTACTGGATTGCAAGAATGATTCAAAAGGTTACAACGACTCTCTTGAGTATAGAATATTACGAAATCTGATATAAGCAAGCGAGTCAGGTGCTTCAGTGCAATATACAACGAAAATCAATTGATTTGTAACATTGCGCCATAACTACTCGTTTTGAACGGATAGAAACCGGATTCCTTGTTCTCTTTTGTCGGTGAAGGTGAACTGTTGAGAAAGTTTAACTATCATAACTGGTGGTGGTGTCTTGTCATCAGCGCGTTGATCGTATGTACCCAGAGCATAAGCATAGCTCGCGTGGTGAAGGTCCTCCAACACATGCGACCATCGATATAAACGTATAAGGGATTTACCTATACTTTAGGATTCGCTGCGCTACGCATCGAATAGAATTTCTACTTCTAGCTTTAAAATAAACACTAGTACATTTCTGCGGGGGAGTGTGCCTGTATACAAACCCCTGTTGGCGGGCTGAAACTTCGACCGCGGTTTCCGCCGGCCTTCAAAGTCATATCAAAGTTTAGGCGCTATGAACTGGAGCAGTCTTTCCGAAATCATTGTCAGTGCTTCCATATGGCACGCCGGATGCAGCGTGCTTCTCTCAGTGATAGAATTACACCACACATTACAGTTTATTTAATAAAAATGGCCGCGGCATTTAGAAATCTGTTATCTTATTTTATACTCCAAGTATATGTAATTTTTTTTCTTCTATACTACATGGCACGGAGGTTCGTCTGATCATTACGTTCATCGTGCGTTTCTCAACCCGTTAAAATGCGCCCTTGTACTTTTGTTTGCCCCGACATGGACCATCGGCGGCATGCGCATGGCTGCCTCATCATCGCGCGATCCCGGCGCTTTTTTGTTTTATGTTGCCCTTTGACTGACATGCCGTTACTTGCGCTCCCATGCGCCAAAGACGGGATCTCGAACACTCGCTTGTCCTACAGTCTTCGTTCGATATTTGATTATCGACACTGCTTCCATGCAAGCCCGCGTTTGTTCACACCGGATGTGGGCAGTTCGCGTGCGCAGAAACCAAATTCGCCCAAGGCGAAGCATCTGCGCATGCGCAGTGCCGACGGCAGCGCCACCGTAGTGGGATGACGTCTAACCGCTCATTCACACAGGAAGCGGATCCACATTCGCAAAGCGGTTGCGAGCGCGGTTGTATAAAGATCCAGTACAATTGCACGCGTACTCGATGACATCAAGTGCGCGTGCAATTGTACTCGATCTTTATACAACCGCGTTCGCAACCGCTTTGCGAACGCGGATCCGCTTCCAGTGTGAATGAGCGGTTAGACTTGAGTTGTTTTTATGTGTATCATCAGATTTGGTGTCTCTGTGGAAATGTTCCAGACTAGAGTGCCTTCATACACACGCGCGTTTTTGCTTGAGTGGTGACATCTGAGCCATTTTTCCGCTCAATCGTTTTTTTATGCATTTTGAAGTGCCCGCAATCCGGCGTCACTCAGCTCGAGCGCGTAGCTTTGGCTAATGCGTAGAAGCCATTTTACCGCCCAGTCACGCACCGAGTGCGCGAGAGCGTACCCGCTGGCACATTTAGGGCGACAATGGATGTTTTCACCCTCAGACAGACAGACATGTAGGCACCCTATTCCAGACACGTGCCGCGCGCCACCTCTGGGAAGAAAATGGCGTCTGAAATCTAGCTCAGTGCTGCGCTGTGCCGCCATGATATTCCCAAAAGCTGCACATTGCATGTGCCTCGTGCATCGACGCCCCTTGCGCTACTTTTCAAACATGAAGGAATTTTACCCTCACGCCCTCCTTTTTTGTATTAGACCCTTTCCAAAATTCAGTCTGGTCATTTTGATAACTATCATCTGAGTGCATATCGTCTGTACGTGCTAATGGCGAACTTTTGGTGCTGTGTTTAGAAAATTTTATTTACAACAGTGGTGTCATGCCCAGAACAAAGCCAAAACCCGAAAACGCGCTATGTACAGTATATACAGGCTTTCAAGCTAGCCAACCCCGTGCCTAAGGCGCGGGCACGCACCCGCCGCTCGGCAAAGCGCCCGTCCGCGCAATCACTCGCGCAAAGAGGCCCCCCAACCGGTACCGCACTCGCACGTCCCGCCCCTGCGACGCCTCAAAGAGAGGGCCGCATCGCGTCCCGTTCCCCCTTTCTCCGCCTAACGCGGTCTAGATATGATCAACATATTGAAAACGGAGTTCGATGCGAGAGTTGTGCACGTGTAGGTATCGGCAGGACCAGCGCCGCAGAAACTCCTGCTCTCCGAGGAGGAACAGTTGCGCCTCGAGGTGGGACACGAGCTCCCGCCGTAGCCTGAACAAAAGCGGCCAGAGCGCGCGCAACCTCCGTCCCTGTCCCACGGCGCAGCACCGGTTTCGCCACAGGACGTACTCGCTCGCGGCGAGCAGAAGGCACGCGAAGAGCCCCGAAGGACATCGTCCGCGCAGGAGGTGCTTTATGAAGAAATAAGTTCAAGACGGGCGCCAACGCGGAGCCTGTCCGCTGTCAGCGGGACGAGTCTTATAAGATTATGTACGCCTAATATATGTGAGGGTGTCGTGTGAATTCTTGGAATTGTCGCCTTCGGCAAGCCCCGGGCACCGCATGAAAATAAATGTGAATTTAATCAATTGTTTTACTTAGGTAGGCACCAGGCACATAGTATGCTGTGTTTGATACTTAGTGTACAACGCTGTCAAATCTGCTAACGCGAGCATGGGGTTCTATCTCGCAGATCGTTTCCACGCGTTTTCGCGCAAACGAAACCATTGATGAAACCACGCGCTCGCGAGAATAGCTTTGACAGAGTTGTATACTAAGTGTCTTGTCCCCATCGATAGCGAAACGAACAGGGAAAGAACTGTGCAGAGCGAAGAACACCGTCACTTCCGTACGTCTGCCATTGACAAATAAATACAAAAAACATTCCGCCGCCATTAAGATACAAAACTTTGGACTGGTATTTGAGTCAGTATTTGTGTAAGAGCATCCTGCTCGAGTAGCTGGCGACCTCGTGGCCTAAGCTGCATTCGCGCGCCAGGTTGGTTCCGACGGACGAATCCGATCCACCGGGCATGAGCCTGGCGTCCTCGCACTGACGCAGGCAGCGTGGAACACGGCTCGGTGGCTCTGCTGCGGGACCTTCTGCGTGACGAAGGCGGCATGGGGGCATGGCCCGCGCTCGAGGAATCTGAGCCTTTGACCCTGCAGTCCCTGGGACTGGAGCGGCGGCTGGCCGTGCTCCGAGTCCACGGCGTCGAGCCTTTCTTCCAGCTCCACGTGGGGCAGGACGAGAAGAACGCCTCTATGCACGTCGTACAGGTAGACACCCGGGAGGACGACGGCAGACCCTCTGAGCGAGGGTAGCGTCGATTCCTGCACGCTGCACGCCCCCAAAGATGTTTACGCCCTTTCAACACTGTTCGAGATTAGTTCCCTTCGTTTTAACCGCACGCATTACCGTTAAAATGCCTGCTCTAAAATTAAACGAGGGGTTTAGATGGAAGGTTTTTTAGAGCGCAGCTCTTAGGGGCCCGTTCCCGGCTTGAGCGGCGTCGCCGTCGCCGTCGCCGTCGCCGTCGGCGTAACCAAGGTCATCCCAAGGTCACGTGACCCCCAAGGTCACGTGACCCCTCCAGGTCACGTCACCCCTCCCAAGGTCATCTCAAGGTCACGTGACCCCACGTGACTCCCAAGGTCACGTGACCCCTCGAGGTCACGTGACCCCTCCCAAGGTCATCTCAAGGTCACGTGACCCCAAGACCCCACGTGACCCTTTGAAGGTCACGTGACCCCTCTGAGGTCACGTGACCCCTCCCAAGGTCATCTCAAGGTCACGTGACCCCAAGGTGACACCCACGTGACCCCCAGGTCACGTGACCCCTCTGAGGTCACGTGACCCCCCGAGGTCACGTGACCCCCCTCCCCGAAGTCACGTGACACCCCCCCCCCCCCCCGAGGTCACGTGACCGCCCCCCCGGAGCATATTAAAGAATGAGGGGAGGAGGAGGGGTCTACCCTCCCCTCAGTACCCTTCACTCCTCCTCCTCAAGAGCTGCGCTCCAATTCGGCGTTACAGGGATTTGTAAACGGCTTTCACTTTTTGTTCCTTTTTTTTAGAAATCCAATATTCTCGTGGATGACTTTTTCAAGGGACATCCTAAGAAGCAGTACCAAACCATATGCTTATAATTTACAATTATTTGAAATCGTCGGCTTCTACAATTTGTCATGAACTGCGCGTGCGTGTGGTGGGAGCTCCCTTTCTCTCTCTCTCTCTCTCGAGCAATGGAGCTAAATCCTAGTTACTGAATCAACGAATTAAAGAAAGAATCCCAAAAGGCGTTCGAAACCCGCAACAAATTATAGGTTCTCTATGGTCCTCATTGTTCCTGCAGTATCTACCACTTGGCATTAAAGACATTGCCACAGCGTAGTGCAATTCACGCTCCTGCTCTCACTCGTCTGCGTTGCCTCTGAGGTAGCCTCCACCGCTTGCCACAGTCGGTTCTGTACAACGAGTTCAGATAATTAGTTTTGGTGCCGCCAACTGGTTCATTGAGCTCCTAAACACAGGTTTTTACGTTCACCGCGACCTATATCCCCCCCCCCCCCCCTCGAGTTTTAACAAAGAAGCCTTTGGGGGCACGAGTCTGAGTCGAACGCTGACGAAACACAATTGTGCGTAATCCGTGACCCGCGTTTTCCTCTTCACGTCACGTTAAGAATTCAAGCCAAGGCCTAGTTGTCTAGGAGGCGCTGACCCACGCTACTTCCTTCCCCTGTCACTTGTTCTTCGGCGTATTGCAGCAGTACAAAGCCTCGCGTGTGTTGCAGATCTTCAGCAGCTCGCCCGTACTGCGCAGCGAGTACTACCTCAACGACACGGACGACCGGTGCCGAGAGTCGCTTCGACTGTACAGGAACACCATGGCGCAGGCCGCCAGGCTACTCGGGGCCAAGCACCCCGAGAGAGACATCGACGACGTCGTCGAATTCGAGGTCCAGTTCGCCAACGTGAGTGGATTTCGGTTCCACGGGAATGTCGCTCGTGTCTTACAGGAGTCTCGTTTCAGACAGTGTCCCGTCAGATGGAAACTCGACCTTCATCGCGGAGTTCTTCCTCTTATTTACTGTGGAGCTTGCACTACGGTGAAAGGAGAGAGGTGCTTGAAAAGCGCCGCCTCGCGACGGAGCAAGTGTGTCGAAAATTTGCTCTCAATTGCGACAAACGGCACGAGATGGCGCAGAATGACAGAAGCTCAAGAAGCCGTCCTTATTCGCGTGCATGTCTTTAACGTCACGAGTGCGGAGCACCAACCCGAGAGTAAGAACACCCTCTAAAGACAAAACCTGCGCACCCGATTCGTGACGTCTGCTGTTCTCTACTATATAGGGCTGAATGGCGCATAGCTGCTCTCCGAGCCTGGCGCAAGTGAGGCTACTGGTAGTTCGATGCTTGCCCGGCAGTCGGGCGTCTGCTGGGCTTCCTAGTGCATTCAGTCGGTGTTTTGGTCTATGCTTTCTTGTATCTTTGAATGGGTTTTATTAATTCCGTTTTGAATGAAATCCCGAGAATAACGAATCTGAACATAAAACATCTGCACACCTGATCAACTATAATCTCAAAATGTTCCCGACCAATGGCTTCCCAGAAGACTTCTCGCGTCTGAATACCCTGTTTTGCGCAGCAAACAGGCTCTCTTGAGATGACAAGAAAAATACAGCGCCCTGGACGCTGTTAAGACCAGCAATCGGAAGGGTTCAGAAGCCTGTCAACCGCTCACTTCCGGGACAAGCAGCTTACTTCCGTTGGCTTCATACCTGTTTCCTCAATGCACCATCACGTTACGGTAGCTAGTTCATCGCGCAGAAGGCGACAGAGCAGGCAGGGCTTGGCAATGCCGGCTCCTTGGCTAGGGTTTTTATTTACGCGTGCATGACGAGCGCCCAATTAACAAAGTTGTAGTTTTTTGTACCTCTGAATACAAAAAGACAAAAAAAAGTGAAAGCCGTTTACAACTCCCTGTAACGCCGAATTGGAGCGCAGCTCTTGAGGAGGAGGAGGGAAGGGTACTGAGGGGAGGGTAGAACCCTCCTCCTCCTCCTCCTTCTCCTCCTCGTCCCCTCATTCTTTAATATGCTCCGGGGGGGTCACCTGACCTCGGGGGGAGGGGGTCACGTGATCTCGGGGGGGGGGGGGGGGAGGGGGGTCACGTGACCTCGGGGAGGGGGCCACGTGACCTGGGGGGCCACGTGACCTGGGGGGCCACGTGATCTCGGGGGTCACGTGACCTCGGGGGTTACGAGACCTTGGGGGTCACGTGACCTTGGGAGGGATCACGTGACCTTGGGGTGACCTTAGGAGGGGTCACGTGACCTTGGGGGATCACGTGACTTGGAGGTCACGCGACCTTGGGGTGACCTTAGGAGGGGTCACGTGACCTCGAGGGTCACGTGACCTTGTGGTGACCTTGAGAGGGGTCACGTGACCTTGGGGGGCCACGTGTCCTGGGGGTTGTGTTGTGTAGCCATCACCAGGTGGTGATGGCTGAAACGTCGAGCAAGTACCTAACTTTAAATACACACAAAGGACTGTTTGCCGTAAACAGGTTACCGTTCGGAGTCTCCTCGGCACCAGCCATTTTTTAGAGAATCATGGACACAATGCTGAAAGATCTGAAAGGCGTCAGTTGCTACTTGGATGACGTCCTCATCACCGGTAGGGCGCCGGAAGAGCATTTGGCCAATTTGGAAGTGTTGTGTAGTTACCGCCAAGCGCGCGCTACTGGGACTATAGTGGCGGCGCTTTAGTTCCTTCGCTCTTCTTCTTTATCGTCGTGTCAGTTTGATAGCACGAGAGGTTCGTTGTAGTTCCACGCTCCATGGAATAAACCTCGGGCCATGGTCCTCCGGTCTACTGTGTCTGTTGCCCCGTCAAGACACGACAACTTGGCGACGAGGAGGCTTCGCTGAACTGCTACGCGGAAGCCGACATGGCAACGGGGGATCCGGCAGCGACGGGTCAAGTGCCGCAAGTCTTCGGCCGACTGGGACACATCGAGCCCTTTGACGAATCGACGAGCGACTGGCCGTCGTATGAGGAACGACTCACGTCGTTTCTTCTGGTCAACCGAATCGCCGAGGACGACAAGGTACACGCATTTTTGAGTCTCATAGGCCCGAAAACGTACTGTCTTCTGAAGTCATTGACCGCACCGGAGTTGCCAGCAAGAAAAACGTTTGATGAGCTGAAGAAGCTTTTGGGGGATCACCTGGCACCGAAGCCATCGGTAATCAGCGAGCGCGCAAAGTTTCACAGAAGAACGCAGCTCGAGAACGAATCTGTAGCAGCCTTTGTTGCAGAATTACGCAAATTGGCGCAAACCTGCGACTTCGAAGCCGCACTTGATCAGTCCTTGAGGGACCGTTTCGTCTGCGGTTTACGCAGAGAGGACATTCAGCGTGTGTTGTTCACAGAGGACAACAAGCTAACTTTCCAGAGAGCCGTCGAAAAAGCGCTAGCCATGGAAGCAGCAAAAAAGAACGTCGCTGAAACACATGCGTCAGAACCTAGAGTTTCGGACGTACACAAGGTGAAGGCCGTCGCGGAGGCGAACGTGACGCAGCGAGAATGCTATCGCTGCGGCTCAGTGAAACATGGAAGCCGGGTATGCCCGCACATTGCGGATATCTGTTTCAAGTGTAACAAGAAGGGGCATGTCCAAAGAGTGTGTCATGCTGACAAAGAAAAGAAAACGAAGTGGGCGCCACGTAAGGCGATGAAGAAACTGGTTCCTGTTCAAGACCCAGTTGGCATGAAGGAAATGACCACGTCTGGTATGGAACCAATAAAACTCACATTAAACGTGCAGGAAGTTGCCTTGGAAATGGAACTGGACACAGGAGCAACTGTTTCTGTCATGTCACTGCAACAGTTTCGTCAGATATCTCCTTCAACAAAGATCATGCCGACGACGCTCAAGCTGCGCACGTTCAAGGGAGACATCGTTCAGCCCGTCGGGGTTGCTCACGTTGACGTGCAGTACGGACAGCAGAGGACCGAGCTTCCCCTCTACATCACAAGAGAAAAGGGACCACCTCTGCTCGGCCGGCAGTGGCTGCAAGCGATCCGATTGGATTGGAACCGGATTTTCGGGATCAACAGCATTGCCAGGTCAGATGTTTTGGCGCTTTCCGAACAACGCACAAAGCTTGGTGTGCTTCTGGACAAGTACCAAAATCTGTTCAATAAAGACCTGGGAACTATTGCTGAAGAAAGGGCAGAGCTGACGCTAAAAGAAGGTCACGTACCGAAATTCCTCAAGGCAAGAAACGTGCCGTTTGCCCTACAGCCTGCTGTCGAGGCTGAACTAAAGAAGATGCAAGACATGGGCGTCATAACACCAGTCACAACGAGTGATTATGCGACGCCGGTTGTGCCAGTAGGGAAGAAGGACGGTGGAATAAGGTTGTGCAGTGACTACAAGACCACCGTGAATCCTTGCCTTGACACTGACCAGTATCCGCTCCCGAGAGTCGACGACTTGTTCGCAGCGCTTTCAGGAGGCCGGGAATTTTCGAAGATTGATTTAAACCGGGCTTATCACCAGGTGGTGATGGCTGAAACGTCGAGCAAGTACCTAACTTTAAATACACACAAAGGACTGTTTGCCGTAAACAGGTTACCGTTCGGAGTCTCCTCGGCACCAGCCATTTTTCAGAGAATCATGGACACAATGCTGAAAGATCTGAAAGGCGTCAGTTGCTACTTGGATGACGTCCTCATCACCGGTAGGACGCCGGAAGAGCATTTGGCCAATTTGGAAGCAGTCCTAAAGCGGTTGTCAGAGCGTGGAGTTCGTGTGAAGAAGGAAAAATGCGCGTTTTTCCAGAAGGAGCTGCGTTATCTGGGCCACGTGATCAGTGCTGCAGGTGTCAGCACGACGCCAGAGAAGATTGAGGCTCTGCTGAAGGTTGCTGCACCCCCAAGCAAGCAGCAGCTCCAGTCATTCCTGGGTATGGTAAATTACTACGGGAAGTTTGTTCCACGATTATCAACCCTGGCGAGCCCGCTCTACAGGCTGCTGCGTCAAGACCAGCGCTGGTGTTGGGACAAAGCGTGTCAAGCAGCGTTCGAGGAAATCAAGACAGCGCTAGCAACACCATCGATTCTGGCACACTACGACCCAAGTAAGCCATTGCAAGTTGCGTGCGACGCATCCCAGTATGGCATAGGCGCTGTTCTGTCTCATGTGACTGAAGATGGAAGCACTCGTCCTGTGGCGTATGCATCACGCACACTGACCGAAGCTGAAAAGAAGTACAGCCAACTTGAAAGGAGGCACTAGCCATTATTTTTGGGGTCAAAAAGTTCCACTTATACATCTACGGCCGAGTTTTCACTCTCGTCACGGATCACAAACCGCTGCAGACTATTTTGGGTTCAAAGACAGGCATTCCGTCTATTGCGGCAGCACGGTTGCAGCGCTGGGCTGTTACCTTGTCAGCGTACAAGTACTCGTTGGTGTACAAGAGATCCAGTGACAATGCAGAGGCCGAGTTTTGCTCTAGGTTCCCTCTCGAAAGTGCGAAAGACGATAGTGGCGAGGGCGAAGAGTCCTTCTATGCACTGAGGCTAGAGTCAATGCCGGTGTCCTCTCAGGAGATTGCACGCGCTACGTCGCGCGACCCGTTACTTTGTCAAGTACTTGAATACACAAGCATGGGTTGGCCGACGCACGTGCAAGAACAACAACTCAGACCGTTCTTTGACAGACGCTTGCAGATGAGTGTTCATCAAGGGTGCCTAATGTACGGCATGAGGGTTGTTGTTCCGTCCCAGCTGCAGGAGCCCGTGCTCGACGAACTGCATCAAGGCCATCCCGGCATCGTGCGAAGTAAGGAGCTGGCTCGCAGCTATGTTTGGTGGCCATCAACTGACTCAGACCTTGAAAGAAAGGTACGAAGCTGCCAAGCATGCCAGGAACAGTGTAATGATCCATGCAAAGCGCCTC